GCGAGGGCCTGCTCTGGGTGTCCTTGTCTGTGACGTCAAGAGTTAGGTGGGCGTTGGACAGCAGCGACCACTCGCCGTCAACAGGACGTGAGTCAGTGACACAAATATCAATGCGACAAACCATATCAGAGTTAAATTCCCGATGTTTAGTAGGTAGAGTTAGGACATGGCTGATTGGTGTTGGTCAATGCGCCGAGATTGATTATCACAGTCTTATTTACACTTATGGTTGCGGTTCCCTGCGTTGCGAAGTGCATGGCACAGGGTGTAGTACAGGTTACTTGGGGAGGAACATGGGCCCAAAATTTGCTCACGACGACGATACTTGGATATACTCACTTGCTCTACAAGGGTAGAAGCCAGGTTTCAGCAAACAATTATCGATCGGTCGTCAGCCTTACTGCAAGCTGTTGCAAAATTATGGAAAAAATAATCAAGCAATAACTAATGCAGTTCCTGGAACAAAACCATCTGCTTTAGGATGTCCAGCACGGTTTTCGCAGGGGTAGGTCCTGCGTAACAAATTTTGTCTACTGTTAAAAACGTTGGACTGAGGCAGTCGATATAGGGAATTCAGTGCACGCAGTCTGTTGCTTTTAATAGCGTGCTGCACCCCCGCCTTCTTTATAAACCCAACCGCATAGGAGTAAGAGGTGGGCTTCTTGCGTGGATAGAAAGCTTCCTAGTCGGTCGCTCGCGAACTGTCCATATCAGCGACAAACACTCAGCCAAGGTTGCGATGGAGAGTGGTGTTCTCCAAGGCTCCATTCTCGGCCCAGTTTTGTTAATTGTCTACATCAACGATTGCGTCAGCGAACTGGATTGCGGTATCGTCATGTTCGTCGATGATATCAAACATTGGCGCGTGATCCGAACTGCGGCTAACAAAGAGAACTTGCAGAAAAATTTAAATCGACTCCAAAAATGGTCGAAGGACTGGCTTTTGCCGTTCGATGAGCGTAAGTGCAACATCATTCGAGTCGGCAAAATCAGTCGTTCAAACGGTACGGTAGCTCAAATCGGTAGATCGTTGGCTGTGTTAAGGCCTTCCCTGCTGTGCGGGTTCAACTGCCGCCGACGCCGCAACTTTTGTTCACAATTGGATCCACTAAATAAAGCAAATCTGCCAACTCCCCTAAATAATCTTCTTCTTCTCCTCAGTAATTCCACGGTCAAAAAGGGGAACTACGATGGATACCTGTCACTCGCAGATTAACAAAGGTTTGAAGAGGAGACCTCTGTGTTTTCACAAAATGAAGACCATGGAGATTGCTTTAATTATAATCATTAAACATGCTAGTTGGCATGAAGAATTCATTGTGACCTACAGCATTCTAACAGGGATCCACAAGGCTTAAGAAGAGAGCTAGGATTGACGGGAGAAAGAGAATAAAAACGGAAATTGCCAAAACAAACTGTTACGGGTAATAGAACATTATTTAACAAGGAAGATACTGCGTGTTTGGGAAAGGGCGGATTGAGTCCAAGAACAACCTCTCACTAAAGACATTGAAAAAATAGTGACAATTTGTCCTGCACAGGAGACAGAAGAACTATAGCCTATCGTCAATGGAAGATGGCTAGGTTCTGTTATGAACCAACTCTCACACTTGTTGATATTATTCGTCACACGGTGATTGGCTGGCATATGAACATGCGTATTGACTCTAGCCAAGAAATTCCCCTGAATCATTGTTACATCACAATTTTGTCACATATTTGTACAAAAAAACAACCAAAATGCGCAGGCAAAGAGGAAAAAAACTAAGCATGAGTCAAGCGTAGGTTCCTGTCTGTCAGTCTGTCAGGCAGCAAGTCCGTCTGCGCGTGTTAAAGAGGGGAATTTGAATAATAGAGAAGGGACCCCGGACGAGGAGGTACCTGCTCGGAAGTTTCGCCCAAATTTTGCGCCTCAAAGTAGGAAGTAATTGCGCAGTGGTTTTGTCCGCATACAGACGATGCACTTGCCGACCGAGTCTTGGCTCTGTCGCACCTTTATTACCTGGCCCATCACCATGCCGAACATGTGATCATCCATCTTGCTGGGCATCACGCGGAGCCAGAAGTGTTTGTGTTCCTCGAAAAATCCGCACATGCCCTTGGCGGTGCACTCAATGAACATGTGCGAGCGGAAGATCGGGAGACAACTGCCCGGGGAGGCGAGCTGTTGGCCACCGCCCTGAGCTCCATAGCCAGTGTTCTGCAGGGAAAAACGGGAATATCCCAGGTTAGGGTAGAACAACACCAGACAGATAGGAGAGCTATGCAGATAGCTCCCATTTTCGCACAGAATACCGTCAATTGCCACTACAGTATGGCCTACACTTCGTGTAAAATGTCGACATATGCGAACGATTGATACTCTCTCTCTCTCTCTCTCTCTCTCTCTCTCTCGCTAATCGGCATTGAGTAGGGTTGTAAGGTCTTTTCCGAAGTCATTTCAGTCACACTAGGATGCCGGCTTCTTAACGAGCTTATTCCTGAACACTAAAAAACGTAGGTACTGTAAAAAGTGACTACTGAAGTAGAATACATTTTTTATCATTGATTTTAACGGCTTTTATAAATTCAAATATACTTAATGGAG